TGTGTCTGTGAGGTGGGGGTTGGGGTTATATTTTAGTTATTATGCCATAGAAAATCAGACTTTTACTACTTAAGCACCCAATATTTTTTGACTGAGTTAATGTGCCATCTCTGAAAACCAACATACATTTTTACTTCTGCATCATCAATCTTACCAGAAAAATCAAAGCCACTTCAAAATATAGATATAAAAATCCTAATTATAAATATTATAAATTTAATTACATTAATAGTAGAAACTTCTGTTCATGAAATCACTGAGAGAGTAGAAAGGCAAGCTAGAGTATTGGAGATGATATTGACAACACATATAACAAAGGACTTGTATTCAGAGTAAAGAACTTGCCAATCCATCAGGGCAGATATTCCAGTAAAGAAATGGGCAACACCTCATATACAAATGAAAAAGTGCTCAACCTCATAAATTGGGAAAATGCAAATTCAAACCATGGTAACATCCCACTCACTACACTTATGCTGGAATGACCAAAATCAAAGACTGACAACACAAGTGTTAGTGAGGATATAAATTAGTACAACCACTTGATAATGTCTACTCCAACTAAACATGTACTGTGATGGTTAGAGTGAAGTTTTGATGAGCCTGGCTTTGGGATACTGCCCAGAAACTGGTGAAGCACACTTATAGGTGTGTCTGGGTGGGTCAAGGAGATGCGGCCTTGGGGTCTATGTCTGGTCCCTCTCCCCTTCTGCTCTGGTGCTGTTCCCCTATTCTGCCTGGCCTCCCTGAACTAATGAGCTTTGCTTTGCTACACCCTGCCACCAACTGAAACCGATCATCACGGACTGAAACCTTGTGCAAATTAAACCTCTCCTCCTATAACTGGTGGGTGTTGGGTATTGTGTCTCAGGGATGAAAAAGCTGATTAATACATGTATGTATGTATGCCCAATTACCCAGAAATTCTACTCCTAGGTAAAAATCCAACGGAAATGGTCTCATTTTATATATGCACCCAAAAGCATGTAAAACAATGTTCAAAGTAGCATTATTCATAATAGGGAAGAAAATATTGCAATAACTGAATGTCTATCAATAGAATGAATAAATTATATTATAGTCTTAGAATATTATATAGCAATGAAATGAATTAGAGCTATATTACACACATCATAAACTGTATTATAGTCTTAGACTACATTGCAATGAAATGAGTTAGAGCTACCTTACACACGCACCCCCCCCCCACAGTGATGTTGAGTGCATGAGTGAAAAATGCTAGACATAAAAGAGAATATGTATTGTATGATCCCATTTCTGTTAAGTTCAAAAACAGGCAAAATTAATTTATGATGTTTGAAGTCAAGATAATAGTAATTAGAATGGAGTAAGGTTAATTACTGACTGGAAGGCCCAAGAAGGGGATGCTCCTGAGGGAGTCCCATGATTTATATTAAAAGCACAAGTTTAATTGATGATCATTCACCAAGCTATACATTTATGATTTATACAATTTTCAGGATGTATACTAACTTCAATTACTTCTTCTTTTTTTTTTTTTTGGTACCAGGGATACTAACTTCAATTAAAAAGTCTGTTTTTAAAAAGTTTTAGAAGGAGGCAATCAGGAGCGAGAACCCCAGCAGTGATGGCATTTCTATGTGGGCACATCTCTCTTCTGAAATAAACTATGCCTGCCCTGCCCACCCACGAACAGGATTACTTTGTTTCCCAAGCGATGAAAGGTCAACAGTCTTTCTTGTCTTTTCTTTTTCTGGTTAGCCAATGAGCCACTGAGAAGGGATGAGGTTAAAGACTGGCTCCGATAACTACTAGACAGCTATCATTTACTGGCTGCTTATTATAAGACAGTACTTTATATAGCACTTCCTATATCTTCACAACCTTAATTATCCTTGCTTATAAATGACAAAACCAGGCACAGAGCAGTGACAGTTTGCTCAAGGCCACAAATCCCGTAAATAAGAGGGCTCAGGTTTAATCACAAGACTATCTGTCCCCATAGCCTGCACTCTTATGCACAAAGTTGTACTGCCCAGGTCACACAAATAGGTTCAGTGAAGGACTAGAATGGCAATACAGAAAGCAAAGTCACCAAAAAGGAAAAGGTATCAACATCACGGAAAACCTATTACATTAACAGGTGAACAAGAAGCTGGTTTTATGCCCTTGTACAAAGATCAGTTAGTTGCTGAAGAAGACATTCTTACTTATAGAGAAAGCTGTTGACAGAAACTCACCACTGCTACATGTTCTCAACAAAATGCAGGGACTCAGAATTGCATAGTGTACGGACTCTGAGAAAACCAAACCCAAACTCTGATCCTGAGTGTGCCAGGTAATAGCACTGAATGAAGCAGATATTAAATAAGCCAGAAAAATGGTAATCCTTACATTAGATCAGACATCAAGGAGGCTATGCTTACTAGCTCAATTTCTGACAAAAAGTATACGACAATGAAGACAAAGTCCTAGAAATATATTGGAATAGAACATGTTCATCCATAATGCTCTGCACTGTATTAGCTCACAAAGACAAAGGATATGCATTTTAAGTATTTAAAGGAGGTTGAAAGGAGAGTCAGAAGATTAGAAAATAAGATTTTTAAGATGCTACATGAAGAGGATTCTCATAGGATGTTTTCCATCAGCAGGAAGATCCTAGGAAAACTACAACTAATCCTGAGTCTGTAAATATTTTTAAGAACGTAAGAAAGCATCTCTAAGACACCAATAGCTATCAAAATGAGTCTACACTGTAAGACTAGTATAATCAGGTAGACACGAAACCCTTCAGTGTACTATTAGAAATCAATCATTAACCTCTTTCACAAATTTGTTATAATTACATAAAAGGTGAGTATCCCTTATCCAAAATGCATGGGACCAGAAGTGTTTCAGATTTTGAATTTTTTTATTATTTTGGAATATGCACAATGACATATCCTGGAGGTGAGATCCAAGTCTAAACACAACATCTGTCTATATTTCATAATACCTTATACACAGAGCTTGAAGGTAATATTATACAGTGTCATTTTAGTGCATCTGCATTTTGGCTGTGAGTTGTCATGTGCCGTCAGGTATGGAATTTTCCACTTGTGGCATCATATTAGCACTCAAAAAATTTTTGTTTTTGTGGTGCTCAGAATCAAACCCTGTACATGCCAGGCAAGTGCTGTGCCACTGAGCTACATCTCCAACCTTTGGATTTTTGGATGAGGGATGCTCAATCTGTATTTGTTCCAAGCCCAAGATCAGCAAAGATAATGCCTTTTTTGTTTTGAATTGTCCAAGAACGGTTCTTGGAACACATCTGCTCCATGTTTCTCAATGAATGGCTGAGAAATCTAATTCTAGACCCAGAAAACATTACCGCTCAAATCACATGAATTTGCCATGACATATCATTAAATTCAAGAATAAAGGCACTTAAAATAAAAAGGCAAAGCTTTATCCTCATATCAGGAAAACTACTATCAGTTTCTCTCATGTTCTACTAAATAAACATTCCCAGTATAAAACATGAATGATACATGTTCAGTCTACTCATCGTTCCTTACCTAGAATTTATAGCACCAAGTAAATATTGTCATGGCCTTCATTATGTTCTGGGAAAAAAAATCTTTCTTAGGGATCCTAATTTTGAAAATATTTCAAATAAGAATTACAAATACTGAGGCAAGTTCAAACATCTTCCACAAAGCTAAAAGACTTTGCAAACAGATGCACTGTCTGAAGCTCGATTACAAATAAGTTTGTTGACTAGCAAATTAAGCACATACTAAATATTTAAAGCCATACATAGTTATACAGACAGCATCATACTATGGGCCACATAATGAACTTTTATGCTGTTTGTTAGGTTATCATTTAAATTAACAGAGCAACTTTCCCATACTCATTTGTGTCATACCTATAAAAGCTGAGAAGAGTTAAGAACTGAAAAAATGTTTTGACAAGGGATTAAAAAAGTTCACGTGCTTGCTTCGGCAGCACATATACTAAAATTGGAACGATACAGAGACGATTAGCATGGGCCTTGCGCACGGATGACACGCAAATTCTTGAAGCGTTCCATATTAAAAAAAAAAAAGTTCATGTCCATGAACATTATTAGTCACACTGACCGGCTTAGCTCTGATGTAGGAACCTGATGTCCTACTATGGCTGCAAGTAGAACAAACTGCTCTAGGACAGATGGATAACTTCTTTGCAAAACATCTGTACCTTTATTACATATAAACCACAAGCTAGGTAAAGGGGTGCAGGCCTGTATTTCAGCACTCTGGGGGACTGAGGAAGGAGGATCAGAAGTTCTAGGCCAGGCTGGGTAATTCAGTGACTTCATGAGACCCTGTCTCAAAACAAAAAATAAAGGGCTAGGGATGTAGGTCAGTGCAAAAGCCCTGGGTTCAATCCCCAGTGCTGCAAACAAAAACCAAAACAAATCATTTATTCATAAAAGGCAAAGTTTACTTAAGAAATGATGTTTATCAGCTGATCCCAACTGAGAATGCCTAGATTTTCTCTAAACGCAATTAGAATGAGCTTTGTGAAAAAATCAGTTCACAAAATTGAATTAAATAACCATATTCTATACATAACAGTTCCACATTATAGGTTAATTTTCAAGTAGAACTTTTATAGGAAATTTTATTGCCTTTAACCTTTAAGGACCTTTTGCTGGAAGTAAAAGTACCTAACCACCAAATTACTGAGATGTACTCTAAACCACCAAAACCTGCTATAATTTATACCTAAATGAGATGAAAACACTTAGCTGACAGATTATTTTCCTGCATTTCAACTAGACAAAATGCCTATGATATTGAGACTTGAGCTTAAAGTTAACATTCCTTAACACACGAAAAGGCTTGGGAGACCAGTAAGTGAAAGTCTGTTAGCTGGTAACCTGTGATTCAAGAAGTGGTATGAATTTGCAATTATTTCTATTTTCTTTCTTTACTACCAATATTTTAATACAAGCATTAAAATTCTAGGATTATCTTACTTACCTGTATGGTTTATCAGAGTTATGGATTCGTCTGTGGTTTCTGACACCAACATATGTTGTACTTGTATAATTGCACACGTCACATCTATACTGTTTCTGAGTTGAAGACTTATTCCCTAGAAAAGGTATTTCAGAGTTTTAGTAGCATGCATTGGTAAGATTCAAATGATAGCATTTACATTCCATAGTAAATGAATATTTATATGACACAGTATTAACATTTCAATCAAGGCTTTCTCACTGCTTAAATTTAACAAGTTTGAAGTGGCTTTACAGATTCTCTGGCACCTAGACTATCAGGAAATATAAACTGAACATCATCTGACCTGTGAATTTAGATAGGCTGGGCTGGTTTCTGCATAACTTTGTACAAAATTCTAAAGTATAATGAACTTGCTTCCAGCCGCCCTGGTGATTGTGTGGCAGCTAAATTAACCAGAGATACACTGCTAATTTGAAAGGTGTTAGTCTGATTAATATTGAATATACTGTCTTAAAGAAACATTGATTTGGCAATGAGCTACAATTTAATACTACAATCTATTATAAAGTACAGCTATGAAACACATATAGCAAACTCAATAAAAAAAAGCATAGAGGTTTTTCACCCTGTGGATTTCCTTGGTTTGCAACTAATGTCAGCTATCAATCCAACATGGGAAGAAAAGCAACTGCAAATTATGAAGTGCTCTACAATGTAGTGTAATTTTATCAAGTAAAACGCAAGTTACAGGGACAAAGGTTATGAATACAGCATGCAACTCTAGGAAAACATGGATCTGATGGGAACAGGCAATGTTACTCATTCTGCAACAGGGCTGAGTAGTTCAAGCATGACAATACAAGATGAATGACTTGATCATATGAAACTGTTTCCCGAAGACATTTGATGCTTTATCTATTCTTCTGTCAGCATAAAGTGCATGGCTATTCCCACCTTGACTGCTTTATATTCAGAAACAAGGCAAGCATAGAAGATTAAAAATAAGGTGGAGCAGGAAGAGCTGTGTGTCCTTTGTCAGGAAGAAAGCTTAGGGAGAATATCAGTACACAAAGCATAAAAGTAAAATTAGTTGTACAAAAGAAAACCCACACTGAAATTTCAGCAAAGAAAATCCTTAAGTTAAATTTAAGCTTTCTAAAATTGAAATCTTCCTTCGCTAACAACACTGCCAGGCAGAACAAAATGTCCTAATTTCCTGGTATAAATCTATAACATTAATATATACACTAATCATAATTATAATCTAAGTATTGCTCTTAATTGGTAGGGTAAAAACTTGGACTTGATTATAAATGGCACTGTTCCAAATATAGTTTAAAAAAAAAAACCCTAAAAAATGAAGTGTGAAATATTGGATAATGGTTTTGTGTGAGAAATATTACAGATCAATGACAACTAATAAAACTGACAGATGGAAAAACTTAATATAGCACAGAATGAGAGCCTGTGCTACTTCAAACAAATGTTTCCATTGGGAAGACTAGATTTAAAGTTCAAAAACTTGGGCTTAGTCCTTGCTCTGCAACTTACTACTAGTATGGTTATAGCTAAATTATTTTACCTCTAGAAGTCTTGGTTTTATCATCTACAAAATGGAAATATTAGAACCTCACAGCATGTTAGGAAGTCTTAAATTTTTTCTTCATCAAAGTTGTACACTGCCTACCTGTCTGGGTAAACTCTTTGCCCTATTACTGAGCTGTAGATTCTCTGAGGGTAAGCATCTGCCTGTTTTGTTTATGCTGAACCCCCTAGGGCTTGACAAATTGTAGGTTCCAAGAAAGGACAATTAATTAAATTTCATGAGGGAACACCATGTAAGAGGGAGTGCTTTGCCCATGGCTCTTCTTAGAAGACCCATGGAGTTTGCTAACAAACCCGTTAGTCCTTTCTAAGTTCTCCACTACTCTGGGTTCCTCAAGGGCCAGTGATACCCTTCACTGTACTCCCCAGCACCTGGTACAGTACCCAGTTCAAGACAGGCACACAAGGCTTTTTGGCTGAATGAATGCCTTAAATATAGTTATGATGGACCTGTGTTGAAAGCATGCCTGGAGGTATCAGTAGTACAATAATGGTAAAAAAGGCATATCTCTCCCCTCTTGTTTAATAAGTTTACTAAGTAGTTAAAAGAAGGTTTAACAAAGCATGAAGTTTTACCTTCTTTGTGAGCTAAAGATCTGTTCTTTGGCCTGTCAACCAGAGTTCACAATACCTAAGTCTGAACTAATAAATAAAATACCCATCCAGGTGTAAGTATACAGGAGGAGATCAGCTATTGGAAATGTTATGCTACTATGATAAAACAGCAAATAGTGACAAGAGGGGCCAAATGCATGGTAAGCAATTTAAAATCTATGCATCTAACCCTAAGAATAAGAACATAATCCACAAAGATAGATGCTGCAAAGTGGAATATAGTGGACAGATGCTAACGCTGTGAAGTTTGGAATGATTATTTTAATTCTGAGCTGAAATTTTAATATTTTTATTAAGACAGTGATTTTTAATCTGTTAACTAGTTGAGCAATTTATAATTTTTGCTTTTTAAAATGGTGCTGGAAAAGATATATTCCAGCACATATTAACTGTAGGTGGTGCTACTGAGTAGCCCTTTATTCCTTCATTAGGGATTTATGGTCCAATCATTTCTAATGTTTTAATGTCTCCTTTAAAGGGGATATGGAAACATAATGAATTAAAATAAAAGGAGGCATTTAGAGCTATTTCATAAAAAGGAAACAAAACTGTTTTAGCTCAGCCATCTATCGCTGAAACAGATGCCGTGTCATAAACTCCTTTTGTTTTGGATAGTTTTACAGGGATGACATCTGTTTGACAAAGGAATTTTGGTGCTACAGTGGTGTCAAATTCAGTTCTTTCAGAAACATTCTAGAATCAGTTATGCTTTCTGGGGTATAATTTAATGAAACATTACGGTAAAACATTTCTCTGCAGTCGTTTCAAACTTTAATTCTTAGGAAATCTAAAAAAGAAAGTCACCCCAATATGTTTTATTTCCCATAAACACTATGTACCACACTCGAGACATTTAAAGCTTATCAATTTAAGTGAGCTGGTACAAGGAAGCACAGCTTATTACACTTTATCCCTAATTCTCTGAATGTGGCATCCGCGTTTTCATGGAATTCTAATTAAATCTTTTGATTCTAATATTCCTATTATCAGAAACTCAACTGACTGGTACCTAACTAACTAGTACATAAAAGGATCTGTGTGTTTTTTCAAAGAATGCAGATGAAATCTGGCAGTCATACTTGAATAAGATTGCAGCAGAAAGCCTCAGTTAAAGTTTGAGGTGGCAGTTTGCCAGTAAAAGTTATGTTCTCTGCAGGTAAACAGGCAGGAAGAGAGGGAGAGGGGGCTTTCTTTCTATGTTGCAGCTTCTCTGGCTCGTGGGTATGCCACCTTCTAAGGGTCTATGCTGTAGCCTGGCACTTCCAGGAGACAGTTAATTTTGAACTGCAATATCTACCTGCATAGTGGAAGCTGAGTCTTTACTAATCTTGTACTGTACTAGTAAGTATACTAGGACCTAGTAAAAATGTACTGCATTTAGTACTCAGAATTTCCTTAGGAACAAAGCTAAGGTTCACTGACATCCACAATATAAAAGTAGAAGAGAATATATGCTTTAGTCATGAAAATAATCTACACAACAACCAAGGGTATTTTTCACGGCATACATCAGTCACTGCAGCTTATATTTAAAAATACACAGATACCTTCCTGAACACACTTCCCATCAGTTGTATCACTGGGAATTCTTGGCTCATTGGAGGATGCTATTGACAAGGTATCTGGAAGGCTGTGCTGCTCTCTCTCATGATTCCTCAGATTACTCTAAAAAAATTGAGAGAAATTATGATGTAATTTTCAATAAATATACATGTCCTACTATCTAGAACATATTATCAATATTTTAAAATAAAATCCTCTAAAAGACTGACATATTTGACAATTTACAGAAAGAAATACAGTAGGACAACTATAATTTCATCAAAAAGGTAGTTCCTCTTATATTCTCTGAAAGGAAGTCATCTGTGTTAGAAGGTTTTAACGTACAACATGTACATGCTTACCAACCACTGGCCGGCCTAGAGGCAGGAAAAGAGCAGTGTTCAGGATAATACTTCTATGAAAATAAATTCAATCAGTAACCACTGGATTCCTGCTACTTTTTGCCTTTAAATATCAATTAGATGTGTTAAGAAGTCGACTGCTCCCCAAGGACAGATCCTTATCTATTTCCACCCCTCAAATCAGCGGCTATTTCTTATAGCAGCAAAAGAAACTTCTGGAACCTGCTCTGCAGCCTATTTGGATGTACTACTTAGAATTTCATGAGGGTAATCCAAGCAGCAGTGACTCTCAGACAGAAAGACTATTTTGTTTCTGATCACCTTCCTTACTATTTACTTTTTTACAGTTCTGGGAAATCTAAGAAAAAAAGTCTATATTCTAGTTAGCCAATAAAGATACATTTTAAACAATTTTTCAGTCACCTAGCACACAGAAGTTCTAAACCAATGATTTAATGAAGGTGGGCTTCCTTTACAAAAGAATAAACCTCGTTGATACTGGCTGCTGGGTTTATAGTCAGTACACAAGATGAAAATTAGTCTGAATAACCTTTCAAAGTCCCTCAGATGCTCACTAAACACAGCTTATGTGGCTTTATTTCCCCTGTACTGGCTTTTACTAAATCCAAGACAGCCCATTTTTTTCTCCTGATAGAAATCACTGCTGGTTATACAGCAGCTGAGAAGACTGACTACAATTTTGGGGGCATATGAGAAATACAAGTTTTGTGTTGATAATATACAGTTAAATCTGTGTATGTCAATCCACTATTCCTTCCTTTGAAATTCTCATGATTGAAAATCAAGTTTTTTTTGAGACAGGGCCTCACTACGTAGTTCAGGCTGGCCTCAAACTTGGAGCAGTCCTCCCGCCTCAGCCTCCCAAGTGCTAGGATTACAAGCGTATGCCTCCAACCCTGGTAATAATTTCAAAGTTACACAATAACACACTAAAGCATTAAATACTGAGGCTAGTAAGGAGGCAGCAGTCATGGGATAGAATTCTCAGTCAAGCCCCAGATTTCAGTCCCAACTTTTAACTAATTAGCTGAGATTCCCCTGGTCAAATTATCAAATTTTGCCAGAACTCATTTTCCTTATCTACAAAATGAGGTGACTGCACTAGATCTGCGAAGTTCCCTCCGGAATCTAAAGTCCTCTGAAAGATTTTATCAAGTATTGCTTACCTTATAAGGAAAAGATTCTTCACACTGCTTACACTGGTATATTTTAGTTTTGCAGTGGTTGATCATGTGGCCCTCCAAATCTTTGCTGTTGTCAGCTATGTGTTCACAGATAGGGCACTGATATGGGTGTCTCTGTCGATGGACTCGCAAGTGTTGCTTGATGTAACCCTTGTTACCACTTGTATAGTGACACAGGCGACAACGGTAAGGCCGTTCAGCATTTGGGATATATTCCACCACATTGGTCCCTAGCAAACTTGTATCACTGTTGGGTTGGCACTGGGCATTGTCCTGCAACTCTTTCAAAATGTCATCATCTGAAGCATTCTGGTCAGTCCTTTCTCTCAATTTCTCAATGACAGTGAGCAAGGACATGCTGATACCTGTCTTAACTTGGCCATCTGACAATTCCTGTCTACCCTCTGGGAAAGCTACCAAGGTAGAGTTGCTTTGGTTAAAACTAGTTAATCCATCTGAAGAGTTTTTAAGAGGCGACATAATTTTTGAATATGCTGCCAATGTACTATCTACTTGCTTTTGTCCAGTATCTGGATCTAAAAGGTTTATATCCCCATAGTGCCCAAGATTGGCTCTTGTTAATTCTGCAGCTCTAATAGGCATTGTGACAAGGGCTTCTGCAGCTAACGAGTGTAGTCTAAGAGACTCAGAATTTGTCCTTCTTCGGCCAGGAGGAGCATTCTCGTCAGTACCCAGGCCTTTACTTATTAACTCACCGTCTTTCTTCTCTGGATTGCTCCAGCCTATAATCAATCCCCCGATATCAACAGTACATTTATCAGCATTATAAATATCATCTGTTCTTTCACATTCAGTCTGGACTTCTGTTGGGTTCTGGTTTTTGCCCTCCTCAATTTCAGCATTCATGAGGAACTGTTTCTGTGAAAGTGTTTCTTCAGCACTTGGTAAACGCTCCACTATCACATTAACGTGACCTTTTTTATTTGGGCTACTGCTAATGATTTTCTGTGCTGATGAAAGTAGGCTGTCAGCAATCAGATTCTCCTCTGAATCGGACATAACTTCTAGTATTTCTTCCTCATTAGGTTCAAGGGTAACTGATTGACTTAGGTGTACTCTGCCTTCTGCTGTCTGTTCTAAAGGAGATGATGATGATAATGGTTCTGAGCTGCAAATCTGTACTTGTAATGATGGCCCATTGTGAATACTCAGTTCACTGTCTCCAATAGCAATAACTACTGCATCGACCCCGCCCGGTGCAGCAGACACAGAAGAATCCAGCAAGCCAAGGGGCTCGTTTTCATTTTCAAAGATTGGATAGGTGCAGTCAACTTGTCCCGCATGTTTCCAAGCATGTGTCTTTAACATTCTCTGCTGGCCACAAGTATAACTGCAAAATAAGCATCGATACATACCATATTGTTCATATGCATACCACTTTCTTCTACCCATTTCTGCCATGGATGCAGTTTGGATGTTATGAGTTTGTGGACTGTCCACATTTACTGGGGTGTCGGGAATGGTTTCAATATTTCTTTCTGTGGTTCTCTGACATAATGAGTTCGAGGAGCTTTTGTGCTGTTGGGCTTTGGATTGGGAGTGACTGTTGGCATCATTTTTGTGGTCATTTACCACATGAGCTTCAAGTGCCTCTTGGCTTCTGGATGTAATATGGCACTCTGAGCAAATAAATACCACTTCATTCTGCTGACCATGCTGCTTGATGTGATCTTTTAACACAGAAAAAGATGATGATAGAAACTTACAAAGGCCACACTGGTAAGACATAGCCTTCCCATCATTCTGGGCAAGACAGTCAGGGATAAAATTTGTTTGTGACACCTCAGCCTTTCTAATACCAACAGCAGGTGACTGGGTTACTTTAGCCGGAATTTCACAAAGTTCTTGGGTTTCAAAAGAGTGTGCTGTAGCACTCGAACGCAAGCGTTTTTTCCCAATTAGAAGACATTTTTGTGACTTTTCATGCTCTACTATCTTGCTTAACTTCTGGATAACATGGATTAATGGATCTGCTTTAAGTTTTCTTTGTTCATCAACTTCCAATGAAGGACTGATCACACCTTCGGCAGTCAATACAGCTTCCTGTTCTCCGGTATCTGGCACCAACATTGCCACACCACTGCTTTCTTCCATATCTAAAAAAGGATAACATACAAGAGAAAGACACACCAGATTAAAGGATAATTACAGTTACACAATTCTGAGATACATTCTAATTTTAGTGTCTAAGCTCATCTAAGTATTTTCTAAGCTAGCAGCTACCTGGCTATTCCCAAAATAAGGCTTAAATTTCTTAGCATTTCTCTTTGGAATGCAATCTCCTGTAAAACTTGATGATGGAGATTTTGCTGTCCTTCACTTATTTCTTTGGAAATGACTTTAACCATGTTTATTTCCATTTTTCTTCAGTGTCTTTGCTCTTGACATCTAGCTGAACCCATTCATTACTCTTCCCTTTTTGTAGAATGCCCAAAACAAACAAACAAACAAACAAAACCTTCTATTCCTTGATTTAAAGAGACACAGCCACTCTCAGGGCCCATGTTACTGTGAAACAACATCATGTAAAGCCAATATGATTTTATACAATTCTTTTTGTTTGTTCGTTTGTTTTGCAGTGTTGGGCACTGAGGCAAGAGCTTCATGAGTGATACGTAAGCTTATACCACTGAGCCACTCCCCCAGCCCTGAAAATATTGAGAAAGTACTTCTTACATAAAAGTACAACTACAGATTACAAAAATCACAGATTTTTTTTCCTCCCTAAATCTTTGCAATTGTGAAAATACAGTCATGTAATCTATTATAAAAGACACAGTAAATTTCAAATGTATATCCAAATGAAACTAAATAAAAGCAATGACCCAGTTCCTTCTTTTACTTCCTTTGGTTTGTCTTCCTGAAAATAAACCACAAACTATGCTGTGGTTTTCTTTTAGAAGTCGTATTAGTGGTCAACTATTACTCATACCCACAAATACTTTTTTCTGAAAGTGCATCAGAGAAGGAAAAAGTTGATATTCCCATTGTGTTTCAGGTCCTGAAATGAAGAGAATCCTTAGAAGGGGTTATCTGTAGGTTCTAATAATGCATTACTGCCATGAAAGTCACCAAACATAAAATACTCATAAATCTTTCTCCAAAGTCTTGAATACTCTTTATATTTCCTGGCAGCACTTTCATTTCAAACATTTCATTTGGCTTAAAGTGAGATTAATTTGTTGACTTGGATCACATTTTTAAGTTCAGGCTTCTTTCCAGCAACAAGTTGTGTTTTTCCACATTTTAGGTGCATTCTGGAATCTTACTCACAACATTCAATAAAAGCCAACAAAATTTTTAGTGGCACTAGCTATAGACCAAAGACCATACTATTCTGAAACTTCATCAGAGGCTCTGAATTTTTATTTTAGACAGTGAATCATGGCTCCTCTACCCCACATAGCTGAATGAACATGTAAGGGTTCTCCTTTGCAGGATCAGACTTAAACCATCCTGCTGGACTCCATCAGCACTCAAACCTGCTTCAGTGCTAGATAACCTATATCATCTTTTGACAGCAATTATGACTTTCCCTCTGATTTTCTCCTCTTTCTGGCACACTAGCTATCGGTGTCTTGGTTGACAGTAGGTAAAAATGCAAACATTTTACTCTTGGCTTTTATTGTATTAATTTTTTCCTCCTTTCTAATACTTTGTCCCATTAGATCAGCTTTGTTCTCTTTTCTGGGGCATGCCTCTAATTTGTCCTCATGGCAGGGAGTGCGTTCTACAACTACTACAACATTGCTGCTATTCTAGCTCTCAAAGGCTAGGGGTCCTTCAGCCATTCTTTCCCCAGACCACTTTTTAAAAATTAGTTTCTTTTCATCTTTCTCAGAAAGAACAAAAGTCTCTTTATACTTTTACACTCAACTTCAAGTCACTGAAGAAATCAAGGGTGAACAATATGTTTCTTTGGAAGAACCCTTTTGTCACTTCCTAAATCACTTTACTGCTTTAGAATTCCACACTTTTAGGTCAAGGAGAGCTGTGGCTCTTTATGTGAGTTCCCTTTAGGGTCATTAACTTAATGCTCTATTTCTTTCAGTTGAGCTGTTAACTGCAAATTAGTTAAACAGGAAGTTTAGTAACAGGAATCCCCATTCACTTTCTTGAAAAAACTATGGTTCTCCACTGTAGATCTAAGGTCTCTTCCTCCAGAAAGTACAACATCCATATGTGGCTGATTGATAACCTGGAGGTTAACAGTGAATGTTTGCTCAACAGACTTTGCACATCCACAGGGTTACAGAGGTGATTCATGTTATCTCTCTCTTCCATTTAATGATGTAATAGGAGAGAGATGGCGCAGTGCAAAGTACTCCCTGTGGATATTTCAATGTATTCCTTAAAGAAGAAGAAGGAGAAGAAATGAAGAGAAGGGGGAGGAGTTCATCTTATCTCAAGAAAAAGACTAATACAAAAGAATCTGACAAAACACATTTTAAAGCTGTGCCTGCTCAGGCATTAGGAACTAATGGAAATTTGCAGCAGATGTTCCAATTTTCCCCGAACATTTATGTAAGTATCTAATTTTAGAGGCTGCATACATTTGGGGATAAGTACAGTAATGGCAGCTATAAAACAGATATGACAACATAAAATACAACAAGAAACACCTGAAAAACCAGTTTGGGGCCACATGCAAAATCAATGCACAAGTTAAAACTCATTAAAACAAAAACCTCTGTTAAAAAAAGGTTAGGCAAACAGCTCATATGAAAGTATACACACTGGGGCATTATTCATGCACTCATATATGATATACCTATATCTATACATTACACATAATCTATACATTATATATGCAATCATATATATACACACACACATATACGTCAAGGGAAGAATAACTTAGTTGAATAAAAGAGATGAAGTTGCATGAGAACCTAGGAATTCATTATACTGTTGTACTTGTGTAAATGTTTAGTTTTTCATAATAAAATTATTAAAAAAAAAAAAAGTTATGTGCAAGGCACCGAGGAAGTAGCAGGAAAAATGAAAACATTTTAAATTCATAATACCGATACCTGCAAACCAAACTGAGTGGATAAGATAAACATTTAGAAGCTAAAACGATTGAACAGTTTTTGAATAATGGAATAACTAATATACAAGGTGAAATCATCAGACAGCAGGAGTCAATGGCCAAATCCTAAAAGAGACTGAAGAGCTCCCTTGGGTTAGGAAAGTAAGGAAAGAGGTAGACTGTGCGATGGACCCCAAAAGATTGTGGCATGCCAGACATCATCCATTTGCTCTCTAGACTCCCTGAATCTTTTCAGTCCACTCTTGGTCCCGTCCCAGGAGGGATGACATCATCAGGCTCCCCTGCCCTCTGGTTTCTGGTTAAGATCCGCCAATGGAGAGCCATGACAGAGCAGAGGGACATGGCAGACTGAGAACACGATATTCATTGTCCGAGCACTTCACCTCTAGGTCACCCTGGACTGGCTGCATTCCTCAAGAGAGCCACTTCTTTCCAGAGGGGCTGCTCTACAAGACTTTGCTTCTGGTTCTGGCACCTCTCCCTTCTCCTGATACCACTAGATGCCAACTGCATTTCCCCCGTGCTCTGCCTATACAAATCCAAAACCTTTACAACAGTAATTCTGTAAATATACTCTCCTTGAGTTATCTTAATATGAGTATGCCACTTGCTTCTTTGGAATACTGTTGTTATACTTTGATACAAGGGCAAGATTGACAAGAAAGGCTGCCATAACATCATTATATTCCTATGAGTGAGAATAAACATGATATTTAGAGGTCAAGGAAAAGATCAAAATGGATGAATAGGAAAGTTCAACAGAAAGAGAGAAGGCAAGAGACATGAGTGAAACGAGATTTTTTGTTTGGAATTATTAGACATAACATTACATCAAACTGTTACACAGAAATAATCAAAAGTTGTATCCCAAACCAGCAAAGTTCTATAACCTTTTCCGTTGCCTCTTAAATTTTTCCTTGATAACAGTAATACTCTGGCAAAGCTTATAATTAATGTCTTTCCCAAGAAAAGTTAAGAAAAAAAAAGAGAAAGAAAAGTTAAGAGCCAAATTATTTCAGTTGTCTTTATTTCCTTATAATTTGGTACTTGGTTCACTTGTGTATCAAGCTGAACAATTCATGTGGGGCTGGAGAAAGACTGTAATTTTTCTGTGTATATACAAAGACAGCACAATATGATAAAAAGAACTCAAGATCTTTCACCCAAAAGATTTGTTTTTTTTCAACTAGAAAAAAAAAAATTGTTCAACAGAAGTAATGGCCAATTAATTCTCCATTTTCCCAGATTCTCATACTTCAAAAGTACAAAACATTTATTTTTCTTAAGCCCAAAAAAAAAGACAAAGGACAAAAGCTCATAGGTCTCTCCCAAGTGCTCTCATTTAGCTGTGTGACCTTAGGCAAGTCACTACCTGTTGTAAGCTTTAGGTTCTTCAGATTAAAATTGAGAGGGTGGGACTGGGTAAACTTTCAGGTCCCTAAACTACAAAATGTCTATATAGAGTTACTTGGAAACTGCTTACACTTTGTAGGTTTACCTTACTAATGTAAGCTATAATTCTTTTGATATAAAATCTCCTTAGCTCAATGTAATTATTAATTGCCACTAAGAAAAAAGCATAAATATCAGAAGTGTATGAATTTCATAGTCTAGAATTTCTTAGCTGGCACCTAGCCTAAGAGAATATTTTAATTTGGCAGTTGCAGTTAAGACATAAGGGCTAACTAACATTAACTGATATTCAGATTTACTATAATTTATTGAGCACCTATAATGTGCCAAGTACAGTGTTACAAAAAAGAATATGAGGAAATCCTTGCCCTTGAGATGCAAGTCCAGGGAGTGCTGCTTGAGTAGATGTTATATAATACTTATGTAATTCCTGGTAATAGTAGCCTCTTTTCTGCAGGTGAGGAACCTCACAGATGTAAAGTAGTACATCTGAAAGCTATATCTCAAAGATATAAAGCAGTTTAAGAAGTGGAATCCAACCAATGATTTTAAAATGATACTTTAATATACCAATTTTCCTGTCAATTCTCAGTGAGAACAAGAACATAATGAAAAGACTAACAGCCCTTTACAGTTAAGCTGTATAAAATGTCAGCATATTTGATCCTCGTAACTCTCTGGGATCTGCTAGGTGGTGTTTATACAATCTTACAAATAAGGAAACTCAGCGAGGTTTAAGTGACTTACCCAAGGTTACATGGCTGTTAAATGGCAGAGCCAGTGTCTTTCAAACCAATTCCTGAAATTAATACAGTCCCTTGGATCAATCTTCAAAATCCAGCTGTGGCCAAGAACGAAAGTACACAGTATCAAACATTTCTCTTTCTTGGTGAAACAAAGTAATGATTCATTTGGGCAGTGAAAAATTTTCCAATACTTCATATCAAAAAGAAATTCAGAAGAATCTTCATGCAATGTAATTGCTGATATAAATTCATATAATTTATCTAACAAGTAGACCTGAGGATTTTGAAAAATTAAGGAAAAAATAGCTCTGGAAACTTCTAATAATTGTGCCTTTTCTTTTACCTCAGAATGTATGTAACTGGCTCAATACACAGTGGGTTTTACTGACTTTTTCTAATGAGTATGAAACAGTAAATTACATACTATTTTAATGTTAATCAAAAATACAATCTAAAGAGTGATTATGCAAATTTTATAAGCATAGTGGGCAGAATAGCAACATGAAAAGACAGGACAGTGGCTTGACCTATATATCTCCTAAAGCAGTTTCCTGCCCTGGTCCTACATTTCTTTGTTACCGTTTCTTATACTAGCCAAGAATGAGTTTAAAAGATCAAAAGAACGTTCATTCTTTCCACCTAGAAAGTAACTAACTTATTATAGGTAATGGTTAAACAAAATAGATTACTGGCTGGGCTGAAAGCAAGTCATTGGGCCTCCTCTGAAGTTAATTTTCAACCAGTTACTGCAGCAAAGAAATGAAGGGCCAGACTTTCTCTTTCAATCAATATAAAGTGGAGTGCTTTAGAAAGTACAAACTCAAGGTGGTGACAGATGCAGTAACTGCCTGATAACAACGATACAGACTGACAGCAAATTACAGCCCATTGTAGAAACTTGAAAGACCGACCACCTTCGAGTTTGGGAAGGTTGCCTCTGCCTCATCATCCGGGCCCTCCACAGAAACCATTCCCTGGAGACGGACGCCCTCACTGGTCGGTGATCTCTGGCGAAATCATTAAGGAGGATGGTGAAGTGTGAGAAAGGCCAGGTCTGCTTTTCTGTACCAGTTTCTTCTACAACAAGCAGAGGCTAAAGGGCCGACGCGATGGGCGTTGAGGAAAGTAATCAAGAGGTGGGCAGTGAACACAGTTGTTAGGTCTATCCTGACTGGCCTGAGCGATTCACATCTGCAGACGGGAAGGCAGCTATGCCTCCGGCGGGCCTGGTCGGGGACCGAACTGGTGACAGTGTGTGAGGAGGGGCGGTTCCCCCACCCCTTAGCTGCTGGGCAAGCCCGGAGTCTCCACAGCCTTGCCCTGAAAGGCACAGCGGATAGAAAGGGGACACGGAACTTAGGGCATGTGGCGAGCACCGGGCGGCTGTCCGCCGTCTGAGGAGGAACCAGGCGCCGACTGAGGCCTGAGGGAAGGATGCACATGGCCGGCGGCGCTCACAGCAAAAGGAGGGGCGGCCCCGGGGCGCGGTACCTGCGGTCGGGCGGCGGCTGCTGCTTCCGCTAGCCTCTTTTGGCCAGCCAGGACCCTGGCGTGTACTCGCCCTCGTCCACCTCTCTCCCGGATACTTTCCTCTTTTACCCCCCGCTTTCCCCCTCCTCATCCGGAGCTCCAAGATGGCGGCGCAAAGAACAGATCACGTGAGCTACGGGCGGGTCAGGTGACCCGAGTGGCTGGCGGCAGGGGCGGGGCGATTGCCAGGCCACGCCCAGAGGCATCCGGGCCAGCTGGGGCGGGGCGGGCGCGAGGAAAGTTGGTGCGCTGCAGCTCCCAACCCCGGCGGGCGTCTGGCAGAGTTGTCTGGGCTTCGTGGCCAGGGTATAGTATTGCTCTGTCCTGGGTAGTCTAGGTCCAGAAGGCAATGACTGTTCATTTTGGAGTCTTCCCACGTCGCCTAAATCTGCTGTGGGCTAATTCGTTCACCCCGCCCTCTTCATGATTGACTATCATAGTGATCATTGAGATTCTTGTCATCCCTGTGTGAATTGATGTAATTTCTTAGGGTTGGGCTACACTTTTTGAGATGTTCTTGGTTAAAATATAGATGTCGTAGCTAGGGTCATGGTTTTAATTCAGGGCGGCTCTGGGAAAATATTTTCGCTTGAGAGGCTATTAAGGGACCCAAATAACACAAAACCTGTCGCCTGAGGCCAAGGTAGTGTTTGTCTATTGGAGCTGTTCATTCTCGGCTAACTTGGTGATGTGCAAAGAGAAGAATTCCAGTGTCACGAAGAGTATTGGACAGTTTTGGTGTATTAGGAACTACACAGCCTAGTACTTGGGTTAAACTCAGTAGATGGGCGGAAGACAGGAGCAAGGAAGGCAAACTGAAGATTCTGGTCATAGCAGTGGACTGACTGTTTGGTGAGGTTATCTTTTGTATCTGTCCAGTATATTTAGGGAGCTTTACAAAGGGGTTGGGCTGTCTGTTTTTAAGTGGAAGATACAAAATATACAAGATAAGATTTATTTTCACTGTTGAGACAGAGCTATAATTTTACTTACATATCTCAAGATACAAATTCCCATGAATTTGGGTGTTGAGAAATCAAGAAAGAATTCTGCTATTCCACAGAATCCTTTATCCGTCGGACCAAATGGATAAGAAATAAAAACAAAGGGCCAATAATTGTTTTCAATAAAAGGTAAGAGATGGAGGAGGAGATTAGCAGGTTTGAGTGGGAGGGAAAAAATAACCAAGGACAACCGGAAATACAGGAAGGTGAAAATAAAAACAAATAATTAATATGAAAATTTCTTTCCTCCCCTTGAGCTACTGGTAAAAACAGGTCTAGTTTATAACTATTTGAAGAGAGGCTTTTCTTGAGTAATGTCTTAACTAATCTGAAAGTAGCCACAACCGAAATCAGGAATTTATTTGGTCAGAGGAGAGAGCAAGGGTGCCACTCACTGTAAAGTGCTTGCTTAGCACGTGACAGGTGTAGAGTTTAACTCCTAGCACCATAATAATAATAGTAATAATAATAATAAAATAGATTAAAAGGTAGAGAAAATATAATTTAGAGAAAACAAGGGAATTCTAAAACAACCAGAAGAAAGTAAACGTATCTTTGAATTTCCTGTGTTCATTCCTGTATTTACCAGCTATTTTGTTTCTCTTCCCACATGGTTAGATGGAACTTCTTGGTCCTCTTGTGGCTCATGGGTGTGGCTTGTGACTGGTATGGGCTAATGAATTATGTGTAGAGGAGAGGGTCATAGGGTCCCCATACTGGAGCTTTTATTGCCACTGTGTTTCACTCCAGAGTACTCTTCCCCTGGGTTGATGACTGCCATGTTGGAAATAGTGGCCACCTTGTCTTAGAGTGACAGAGTTACCGAACCCTTAGCTGACCCACCATAGATCTTTCTAGCAAACAAGACCATGACCTTTTGGAGCTGTTTGGTACAACAACACGGCATTGCTACTGTTACACTCTTCCCTAACTGGGAGTGTAATGTAGCACCAATAGGAGTAAACATTACAGGCAGAAAAGAAGAAATGGAAGAATTAGGAGAGAAGGCATAAGATGCACAATCTCAAAAAAACTTAGACAACTTCAAAATGACTTTGACACAAATATCTCAGTATTTTTCCTCTAAAGAAACTTTCCAGAAAATCACAGTAAACATTTTTTTTTTAGTTGGAGGAATATAAAGTCATTCAGGTGGAATTCCACTGAACCTGTGGACATCTCGTCTAAACTCTTCTCAGCACCTTCCACCTGTGTTGGAAAGCTATTTATCATGATTTAATTAACCAATCATAGTAAGATTTAGTGTTACAGATAGGAAACTTGCTTACTCCATTATCTAGCATCTTTTCGGTGGAATCTGATTCTATTTTCAGATGAGAGATGACCTAGATAACTGAACCCCTGTCTCTGCTCACCTCATTATCCTACTTTAGGGTCATTAATTAGTTGATAAAGGTTTAATTTCTTCTACAAGTATCATGGGTCTGTATCTCCTAAAGTGGCCAGGGAGTCTGATGATACATAGTGCTTTACAACTTAAACCAGGGCACTTTTTAAATTTGAGGAACTCTTAGGACAGTACAGTAAATTGTAAAGTGATGACTGGCTAGAAACAGAGTGAGACACAGTTGAAAGTTGAAGAAGACCTTGTTTCCAGCCATGATACTTATGAAGGACACTTTGCCTTTGTTGTAGTAAGCTTAGACTAGATTTCTTTTTTCTTTTTTTTTTGGTACCAGGGTTCCAACTCAGGACTTTGCATTTGTGAGGCAGGCTGCAGCACCACTGAGCTACATCCCTGGCCCTAGATTTCTTTTTTGAAGGGATTAATCATGTAAGTCTTTGGCATAGTGCAGAAAATTGGATAAGACATGTGACCTGTTTTTCTTTTAACTATAATTTTTATCATGACCTTTAAAAATATTCTGCCTCAAAAAAGGAAAGATCAAGGAAGTCTGAGAGGAGGCAGGAGGAGTAAAAGGAAAAAGGATGCAGTAGTGTGAACTGAGAAGATAAACTGAAAAATTATTCCATACTTTGCAGTTTAGCTCCCATGGGACTATGAGCAGGTGGGTCCCATCTTTCTGACATTTTCACCTTGCTTATAAAACAAGAAATTCAACGTATCCTTTTTTTTTTCTGAGTTTCAGTTATCTGGTGTGTAGAAATATGGGGTTTAATTATAGGAGCCCTCCAGGCTGGAAATGGATTTCATCATTAAGAATAATGGCCAGACTTGATTTTATTAATGACTGAAAAGATTGCTTGATGTAATTCAGAAGGAACATAAGATTAAGAGACATGACATTTTATTATATATACAGCTGTCAATAATGAATTAACATTAGCTCTGGATTCTGTACACTTTGCATCTTGAATATACACCTAGAAATACTTCATAATTATAGTTCAGTTCTCAAGAATCATCATATTACCCATCTGTCATTCATTCTCTGCTAAAAGCCACAGACCTATGTTATCTCAGCAGAACATAGACATTTAAAACCCCTGGTGCTACGATGCTCACATATTAATCCATTTCTTGTGGAGGGCCCAAACAAGCCAGAATACATGACAACTGTCTGTGACAAAGACTGAGAGGAGAAGGAGTAGGGAGCCTGATTGTGAGAATTGAGGTTTGCTCTCGCTGACACTATTCTTGTGTACGTTTCAGCTCAGCTGTTCTGGATCTGAAATGCTAACTGGTTTTGAAAAGGGCCCCCAAGAAGCTCAGGCAGTCACAGCACTTAACACAGCCCTGCCCTCAAGGTTGTGATGGAACCCAGTCTAGAGTTCTATCCAATCTGCGATTCTGTCAGGACCTCCGTACAGGAACAAGGATCTGTGATGGTGACATCTAGTGGCCTGTCTGGAATGTGCAGTCAGGCCACAGAGCAGTCCAGTGGGACGTGGGATGTTTGCCTGGTCCTGTTAACCCAGTACTGACCCCAGGTCCCTGAATCAGTCTAAGAGTTTGGCTTCTGGCAGAGATTCCCTGAACACATGTTAATTTATGATTGGGATCCAGGAACCCTACGGCAGGCTGGGAGTGGAGGTGGAGAGGGGCTGCTTTGGAGGACGACAGGAGGCTCCTTTCAGTCTGGTCTGCGTATGCCACAGGCTTGTGCTGCAGCAAAACGCGGCTCAGCGGGGCTGCATGATGGAGCAGGGAGCTCACCTCCGCCAGACTGTCTCTCTGCTTCAACGCAGACTGGTTATTGGAACGCTCAAGCAATTTTCAGTCGTCTTGGTCAATAAAGCCAGTCTCTTCTCTGCAAGGGGAATGAAAATGAGATTTCGAGGCCTCCAAAAGGCTCTCTCCTTTTGCCACTTTATCTGCCCAGGAGCCAGGGAGTAGCTTGGCTGAGTTGGGTGGTGGCTATTTGCTATTCTCCAAGCTCTGTTGACAGGTAATACCACCTACTTCTGAACAAGACAATCCGATTGTAATAGGATACTGGTAAGTACTTCCCAGAGAAGAAGCATTTTCCTTAAAGTCATGATCTTTATTGATGAAAGGGGCAGTGGAAGAAAATGAAAAGAAGAAGAAGATGATGAAGAAAAACACCAAGTGGAGAAGTAGCTGCTAATCAAACCAAGAGACCCTAGCTAAGGGGTAATTGTGGTTTAAAAATATGTCATTTGTTATTTTGACAGCTCCTCTTGAGGTGATAGACTAAGAGGAGCAGCCAGCATCATCATCAGCTGCCCAGGGGTTCTACTTCTTGCTTCTTGAAGACATCAGTGAATAGATAACAAGAAGTAGCAAACAGCCTGCCTTCTAAGGTCCTCCAGCTGTGAATTCCTCATACGCGCGATGGAAAACCAAGCACAGGAAACATTGTATAGTACTTGACATTTCCCTGAAAAAGGGACATGAATGAGAAAGGGAAGGGAAAGTGCATGTAATACGTAGAGAAAGTCCATGCTAAAATTTTCACGCCCTTTCTAGCCTCATCATAAGCTCCCCTGAGCCATGAAGTAGGAGGGCCCCACTGAAATCTATTGTGAGCTGGAAGTGGCATGTTCAGTATTGGGCATGAGTAAGGCACAAGTGACCAGGCTCCTGTGTCTTCCATCCTTCTTATCCCTGCCCTTCTCCCTCAGGTCTCATCTCTGAGCCATTTGAGGAGACACCTCTGATGAACTAATGGTAGGCAGAAGCCTGAGCTAAGCTTAAG